TGACAGTATGGACAGACCATAAATCACTACAGTACCTTCGCGCACAGCCATACCTCAACCCACGACAAATTCGCTGGCTCGATTTTCTCGAGTCCAATTTTCACTACACGGTCACCTACAAAAAGGGAGCCTCGAACATCGCCGACGCACTGACCCGCCCCACTGCCCAGATCCACGCAATACTACTCGCCCAGACCAGTCCCCTACTGACAGGCCTATTTACCCACGGGTACCAAACGGATCCATTCTTCACAGGAGGAAATTCGCAGCAGTTCGCAGCAGAAAGGGGAGTCTATTACGTAAAAGCCGGGACCGACCGCATCTGGGTGCCTGGGTATACACTGCTACGGGAATTACTGTTACAGGAGGCACACGACGGAGTTACCTCGGGGCATTTCGGGGTAGAAAAAATACGGCAACAGCTGCATCGGTATTATTACTGGCCCGAAATGTTGACCGACGTACAGCGACACGTGGCATCGTGTCCCACTTGCCAGCTCATGAAATCATCACGGCAGCGGCCGGCAGGACAATTGCAGCCTATACCACCCCCAGAGCGTGCTTGGCAGCAGGTGACGATGGACTTCGTCACGGGGTTACCGGCTGGGGCGAGTGGGAACGACGCGATCCTGGTCGTCGTCGATCAACTGACGAAAATGTCACATTTCGCAGCCTGCAAAAAATCAATCACAGCCGAAGAGACAGCACGCCTCTTCATCTTCACCGTTGTTCGACTGCACGGGATACCAGCAACAATAATCAGCGACCGCGACACGAAATTCACCAGCAACTTCTGGCGGTACCTGTGGTAGCAGTTCGGCACGCGACTACAGTTCAGCTCTTCGTACCACCCCGAAACTGACGGACAGACAGAACGGACAAACCAGACCATGGAGCAACTCATCCGAGCCACGTGCGACGACCCAACCACCTGGGAACAACAGCTGCCACTCATTGAATTCGCATACAACAACTCACCGTCCGCCACGACCCAACAGTCACCGTTTTACCTGAACTACGGACAAGACCCGACAGTACCCATGACCCCGAATCCCGACAACCCAATGCCACGAGCACAACAGTTCGCCGAAATATTACAAGCAGCACGAACCCGGGCAGCAGACGCAATAAAAAAATCAAACATCATCGCTAAACGTAATGCCGACCGCCACCGTCGACCTGTCACTTACCAACCTGACGACCTAGTTTTACTCGACACTCAGAACCTCAGACTGCCCATCACCCCAAAACTCCGCCCCCGATATTGCGGGCCATTCCGCATTAGCCACATGATTACACCCGTCACCGCCCACCTCCTCCTCCCCGCTGACTGGTACGTCAGCCCCTCATTCCACGCCAGCCTGCTTCGCCCTTACGTCCCGTCCACGAGCCAACTACCACGTAATCGCCCAGCCAGCATGACACGACCGCCGACTGAACCAATCATCACCCCCGAGAAAATTCTGAGCCACAGAGTTCGTGACCCTCGAGGAGCCCGAAGGATCGAGTTCCTGATCCGCTGGAAAGACCGTACACCCACCGAAGACAACTGGGTTCCACTGGACAGAATCGAAAACCACCCCGTCCTCACCGAGTATCTGCGCAGCCGAAACTTCAGGGATGTACACGCGCTTTCGTAAGGAGGACCTCCTTAGGGGGGGGGGTAGTGTAAGGAAAATTCCTTTTCCTTACGTCGCGTCCCTGCTCAGCGCGTACACCACTGTAGCACCACAGTCAGCACCGTTACCACTCGCAACCATCGCATCGACAAATCCTCCCGCCACCTTCGCACGTCGCACCCCGACCTCACGGCTCGGCGGGTAACCCGCGCTCCGGGCCTCCGCTTCGACAATTCCCCAAACCTCAGTCCTAGGCCCGTCGCGCGACAACCACAGTTCATTACCGTTACCACTGTAGTTTCGCTATATATTCTTCGCTCATGCCTTCGCTCATTGTACTCTTGCTTCGATAGTGCAATTCTCGCTCGCTCACTCAATTGCACTCGTAACAGGTGACAAGAAAAGGGAAGGGAAAGAGGAAGGTGGAAAGAGGAGAACATCATCTACGTAAAACATATAAGGACCAAGCACAAGAGCAGCCCTCACCACAACGCAGGGCACAGCGTTTCAAGCACAGCCGCTAAGGGCGCGTGTCCTTGATGGCTGAGTTCTAAAAAATGCTCGAGCTTTGGCTAGTAACCTACTTCGCAAATTTCGGGAAATTGGAATCGTGAAATTCGTCAATGCTACGTCCAATCAGGGAACTAACATGAACACTGAACAGGGTCGAGCTCGCATTTAAACTGTTAGTGAGCACTTTTTTCCAAACATGTGCACCTTGTACCCCTTCGATAAAGCTGCCAGCGAAAATGATTAACTTCAGTGTGCGTACTAGCGAAGCCATCGTCAGATTATAGGCGTCGCCAACCGCCACGTGGAAACCAGAGGGCACGCGCCACCCATGCGGGTAGCCTACGAAATCTGTGTGCGAATTGTGCCCTGCTCTATAAGCTCGAACTTCAATGCCGCGAGGGAGGCCCTCTAGCACCGTCCGCAGAGATCGGTCGATCTGGTCAACATCATCCGATGCGAAGCTCTACGGAAATTCTTGCCGCACATAGGAAGGGAGCAAAGAATGGGTGACGGAGCACCATACCCAAGAGCATGCAAAATTCATAGGGGCAATACGCTCCATGTGACGAATGCCAAAACCCCCTACGCATATGGGCAGAAAATCTGGTCCAGGGCTGCATCGTGAACGTCATTTCTACAAGCCCAAGCCCCTGGCACTAGGAGCTGCTGAAAGGTATCTCTCAACCGCGCATCCCACTGTGCAAAGCTGGCACGTACTGCTGGTGTCGGTGGGACCTTCCGCTGGCACGTACTGCGGTTGCGTGCTGACACATGCTGAGAGTAGGCAGGCCGCTGAATGGAGTTGGCGTAGTCTCAGAAGCCATGGCAACACTAGCCCCATCCTCTCCGGACACTTAGGTAGTCTCCTCTCCACAAACGCGGCAGAGCCCACCGGCACTCCGGAGATGGTGAGTCCTCTACGAGCAACCTCAATCCTCAAACTCGAAAAAGTTTCCACCTCCCCGAAGGTGGCAAAATCTTGTTGGTAAACAAGACACTTGTGCGGGTGGACTGCAAGGCCCAGCTCGCTCAAGTGTCCCATGATCCCCGTGAAGTGGTGTAGCACTCTAGAGGGAGGGCCCAGCACATAGGTGTCATCTGCGTATGACCAAAGCTGGACGTTGCCCTCATCTGGTGCTGGCTTAAGAGCCCTGCGCTAGTGCATATAGAAACGAGCTGCGCGAGTCACCCTGGAGGGTGCCGCGCTCCGAATGTATGGTGGCCACTCCTGTACCTGCCCGGTAGTGGAGGTTAGAGAGTGACACGTAGAAAATGCGGATGAAAGGTATGAGGCAGCAAAACTCAGGGATGGTGTAGAGGGCCTGGAATATGGCGTCTTGATGAAACGGGTTAAAGGCGTTCGCCAAGTCCAGCTGAAGAGCGACCCAGTTAGGGTGGTCAACCAAAGCAAGACGAACACTTCTAACCATGACCTTGGTCCTGTAGGTAACGCCCTCGTCATCTGGTCCCGCAACTGCAGGCAGACCGTTAGGAAAAGGATGTAGATCAAAGCCTCACCTATCGCGATAGGATGCACATCCAGGTTTGCTTTTGCGAGAGCGACCAGGGTGGTTGATGCCAATAGCGATCGAGCTGTCGGGGCGCAGTAGCCTTGCAGCCAATGCTGGTATATGGCGAGCAGGTTAGGAAGGCTCAGAGGAAAAGCAAGAAAGTATCCTAGAGATGCTCGGCAACCCAGCCTGTCGATCCTCGGGGTGACCCGCGTGGGGCCGTGAAGATGGCGCATCGGAGGTGGTCTACAGAGAGCACGAGGGCAGTTTTCTGGAAAGTCGATAGCCAATCTAAGGTCGGTCACTCCACGGCGGAATGCATGCTCCGCAGTTAATGCGTCGTACTCTCTGTATCAGAGGCCGCTTTTGCCGACTCCAAGGACACACAGGCCCACGAGGTCTCATTGCAAGCCGCAAGACACTGGCAACGAGCAATGTGACGCTCATCCGCCGTGGGGGGGGAAATGGTTATGTGTCCATATCATGATGCCCGTCGAGGAAGGGGTGTACGTCGATTCAGGGCCTCCGAGATGAGCTCCTCCCACTCACCTCGACTAAAGCGGGTGATGCACGCTGCGATGGCGGCCATGTGTGAACACTCCGATGGTGTTGCTGGAGCGAATAGGAGCGTCGGTGCCGTCGCCATCTGGGTCCTGAGAGATCCGCGCTAAGATGGCAATCAGAATGTCAAGATATACACCACAGTGGGTGTGGGTGCGCTCCGGATCAAAACACTCCGACCAACGCACCGAGTCAAGCGTATACCAATGTGCATCTGTGAACTGCATCCCTGCGGCTTGGGGCTCTGCAAGGGAAGGTAGAGCTGAGGCCCTGTTGCGCACAGCTTGCGCTCTGCGGACTACGTCGGCAGGGTGGCAGAATGGCGTGTTGTGTCGGAGTGCTCGGCGGTTCGCGAGGGAGCTCAAGCATATAAGGGGCACCTTACGACCTCATCGGGCAACGTCTCTGTGTCTGTGGGGTCGGCCGTGGCTGTGCTATCAGAACTATTTACAAAGGCAGCCTCGCTAGTTAGCAAGACACCCGCCGGAACGTCGAGGGTAGGGGGAGATGGGGCATCCAGAAAATGGCGCGGGTGAGTGGTGGGCGGGGCCGGGCGTGGAGCTGGGCATCGACTCGGTGACAGTCCTACACCTGAGGTCGGGGTCTGTGCAGGGGGTTCGTGGAGGTAGTCCGAGCCCTCCCTGAATGGGATGGTGTCCTGATGGCGCCTCCAGGATGCCCAAGTGAGGACTGTCAGGTGCCTCATGCCCAGCTCTTGTTGCTGTACTTGGAGTGATAGGTGGGGCTATTGATGGGGATGAGTAGAGTGAGGCAGGCCGGAGTGGTGCACCTACGTCTATATGTGGAGCACACGGTCTTTTTTAAGGCCGGTCTCCATCGGAGATGGGCGGAAGGGGTCGAGTTGGATGGGGCCCGCAAGAGAGAGGTCCTTGAGGGGGGGGCTGCAAGGGCACGTACCTGTGGGGCTAGAGGGGTGGGAACTGAGAGGGGTATGCAAGTGTGATGTATTGCCAGCAAGCCGGATACTGTCGCTCCCAAACCCGATGTGGACTCCAACGCCTCCCCGTCTGTAAGGGAGGAAGGATGAGCTGGTTCAGCGAAAGATGAGGCACGCCTTGCCTGGCCATGTGGTTGGGATGCGGGTGGATGTGGCAATGGCCTTAGCTCACCCTCCTGACATCTCAGTTGAGCTGTCGGGGGCGGGGTGGGGCTGCCCGCAGTGGTGGGAGGGGGGGCATGGGAGATGAGCGCAACCTCTTCTACCATTGTATCATCCCCAACTCTGGCGACCTCCATCCTAGTGCGGAGGTCACCATCCCGAGGGGCAACTAGGTGTTGGTGGGGAAGAGCCGTGCCGGTAGGACCTCCCTCGTGTGCCTGCAAAGGGGAGAGAAGGATAGGTGATGGACCCAATATGAGGGGGGGTTGAAGCAGGTTGGGTAGAGGGAATAGCTGCTGTTGGGGCAGAAGATGGAGGTGGAGTGTGGAAGTTAAGCATCCACTGCCGTTGGCTCTACACTTCCGTCGTCGACCTGCATTGGCTTGGGGAGCCGTGGCTGGTTGTAAGGGAGGGGGGGCGGGGGAGGGGATGGAAGGGTAATGTTGGCACGGTGTGATGACTCAGCATGACACCTCCCTCCGCCCGTGGGGCCTCCCGAGGTGGCGGAAGCCGGTGTCAAAGTGGCCGCCGAGCGTTGCTGGTTGTGGCGGGGTGGGTGGGTCACAAGGAGTGCAAGTGGGGAGCGATGGGCTGGAGGAGAGGGGTGGTTCGCACGGGGAGGGTGATGGTGGTGAAGGTGGTGATGATGATTAGGGTTGGGGATGGGAGCGGAGGGGCGGGTCATGTCGCGTGCCCGTGATGTGCCCTCGTGATGTGCCCTCGTGATGTGCCCTCGTGATGTGCACTGCTATTTGAGTCCCTCCCACCCATCACCTCTTCCATGGCCTCCTCAGCCAGCCCGCTCTTGCCTTCCTGTGCCAAGAGCCGTGGCCCCTATAGGTGGATCCCACCAGTCAGGGAATAGGGATAGGAGGGGGAGTCCCTAGCGGTGGGATGGGGGTGCCGGTACTCTCCGCTGTGGAATTGCGTAGCGTGCGGATCATGTCCATGGGGCACAAAATATAATCAACAATGGGCTGCGTTACTGAATGGAAACAATCAACATCGCCAGCTATTTCATGGTCGCAGTAGATATACACATGGACCTCAAATGAATATAAGGGCATCCAACATACACTACTAGCAGATCAATACGGGTGTGTCCTGAGTTGGAACACTGATTCAAACCAAGTTCAGACCCACAGCTTTCACTGTATGCAAAACAGCAAGAAAAACAGTATGAATAAACCAGCTCAGAGTGCTTTGACTCGAGGTCTCATAATGCTTTCATCCCCACGCCACTGCCACATTATATCTTCCAGCGACACTCGCCCAGTGACAATATCAAGGCAATCTCTCACACAAACCATCTCATCAGATGCACCTCCACTAGATAACACTTGCCCCGCCACTTCCACCCTCTCCTCCCCATCTGCGGTCTCTGCCCCGCCATCTTCTCCCTCTCGTTGACTCTGTTGACTCAGTTGACTCAGTTTCCTCATGCTCTTGCTTCTCATTAACATCCCTCCCTTCCACTCCCCTTCCTCCTCCTTCCCTCCTCCCCCCACCTCCCCATCGCTCACCCCATCCCGCACTCCACCCTTCACAACCCCCCCTCCTCCACCCCCCTCTCCGTCCCTTCTCCCTCTCCTCTCGCCTCTCACAGCCCAGCACGCAAAAGCCGAATGACCAACATCCTCATAAACCAAAGCCTTTGCACGAATCCCCACTCCCCCTCCTCCTACTCCTGCTCCTCCTGCTCCCTCCCCTGTTCCCCTCCCGTCAGTTTTTTCATCCCCCGATCTGCCCCCCTCTCCCCCAAACTTGAGCTGGCTGGGAGGAGGCGAGGGGCGAAGGAAGGAGTTGAGGTGGTGAAGCGAGCGGATGAGAAAGAGAGATGTTTCGGTGGGGACTATAGAGTCAGCAGTACTGCACTGAAGGAGGATGATGGGGAGGAGAAGCGTGGAGGAGGGAGGGGAGGGAGAAGAGGGAACTGGAGAAGCAGAGGAGGAGGAGGTTGAAGAGGGAGGAAAAGAGGAGGAAGACGAGGAGGAGGAGGAAGAGGAGGACGGAGAGGGAGAGGAGGATGGGGGTGAGGAGAGCAGGTTCAGCTGTCCTGAAGCAAGAGCAGCCACAACAGCTTCAGCAACACCCCCTCCCAGCTCCTGCCTGAGAATGTCGAGAGGAGGGGGCGGCAACTTGGCGAGGAACCTAGAGGAGAAGCAGTCAGAGGAGAGGGGGTCTGCCTCTTGAGAGGAGGATGCTTCTTGATCGGAAGAAGGAGATGAGGCGTTTCCTGAAGGTGTGCCTGTGGGATCTGCTGCCACCGCTGCTGCAGCAGCTGTGTAAGAGGAGGAGACGGAGAAGGGAGGAGAGACGGTGAACTCTTGGGCTGGTTGGAGTGGTGAAGATGCTGGCAAGGATGACGTTGGAGGTATCATGGCGTCAGTCGCTGTGGCATCAGCGGGTTGGGTGAACTCCTGGGCTGGTTGGAGAGGCGAAGATGCAGGCAGGGATGACGCTGGAGGTAGCATGGTGGCAGCTGGTGTGGCATCAGTTGGTGTGGCATCAGTTGGTGTGGCATCAGTTGGTGTGGCATCAGATGGTGCGGCACCTACCCGTTGCCTGAAAGCTGACGAGTTGAGGAGGTGGGATCGAAGGGCCTGCTTCGCTGCTTCTTTTGATGTCGCTCTGTTGACTGCATCTGCCACTGAGGTGGGATTTCCCCCTCGTGAGATCACGCTTCTCCTTTCTGTACTGGTCACATGCATACCAGCATCACTTGCACCTGCCTTTTCACTCCTTACACCTGTTGCTCCTGCTGCTCTTGCTGCTCTTGCTGCCTGTTCACTCCTTACACCTGCTGCTCCTGCTGCTCTTGCTGCTCTTGCTGCCTGTTCACTCCTTACACCCGCTGCTCCTGCTGCTCTGACTGCTCTTGCTGCCTGTTCACTCCTTATACCTGCTGCTCCTGCTGCTCTTGCTCCTCCTACTGACAAGGACGATACTGATGAGGACTTGGCAGCAGCTGGTTGGCGGTTGGTGATTCCTTCATCAGAGTTAGCTAATAATTTCACTGGACCATATGATGACGTGGAATTTGGACCCTCTGACGTGGCGTTGGGACCAGCTGACGTGGCAAATGAGCGGGGTGACCCCGATTTGAGGGCGGCAGAGAGGGAGGGCCGGAGGGAGGCAGCAGCAGCAGCGCTGACTGCTGCCAGCTGCTCAAGTGCTCTGCTTCTAGCAGCAGCAGAGGCAGAGGCAGAGGCACAGGCAGAGGGAGTCACAGGAATGAAAGGAGCAGAGGTGGAAGGGGCGGACGGGGCAGAAGCAGCAGCAGTAAGAGCAGCAGTGGCAGACAAGAGATGGCTCTTTGGGTAGTCAAACGACGCGCCGAACAATGCAGCAGCAGTAGAGGCATCACCAGCAGCATCACCAACAGCACCACCAATAGCGCCACCAATAGCACCCGCAGCTACAGCCTCAGCAGCAGCAGCGGCAGCATCAGCAGCGGCGGACGCGAGAGCATCAAACAGCAGAGCAGGCGAGGATGAGACAAACCGTGCCGGCCCGCCGATAGCAGGCGTCATGAGAGAGAGAGCGACCACGCCCCGGTTCTGCTCGTACCGCTGGTGGTGGGCTATATCGTACACACCGCTCATTCCCAGGAAACAGTAGGGCTGCCTCAGATCAGATTCGCCAATAGACCAGAGGTCCTTTCCCTTGAGAGGCCTCAAAGGCTCGCCAATAAACCAGAGGTCCTCTCCCTTGAGAGGCCTCAAAGGCTCGCCTATAGACCACAGGTCACTTTTGACGCGCCTCAAAGGTTCGCCTGGAGACCAGAGGTCCTCTCCCTTCAGGTCCTCTCCCTTCAGGTCCTCTCCCTTCAGGTCCTCTCCCTTGAGAGCCTCTCCCTTGAGGGCGGGCTGTGACGATTCTCCCTCCCTGCTGGCGCTGCTGCTGACACTGCTGCTGTCAGCCTCTGCTACAGCCGTGGGTGCTGCTGCTGACGATGCTACATCCTTTCCATGCGCCTGGAACATGCGGCGGAGGGCAGACCTGAGGCGGCGCCACACAACCATGGAGCAGACGTGGGCGCCTGAGGAGTGGCCTGTGAGGAAGATGCGCGAGGGGTCGCCCCCATACTCGTGAATGTGGTCCATCGCCCATGAGAGCGCCCTGGACGTTTCGTGCACTTGGTGGATGGCAATGACCTGTCGGTGAGGAGGTGGGATGAATGGAGAAGGTAGGATGGGGGAGGAAGACACTTGGTGGATGGCAATGACCTGTCGGTGAGGAGGTGGGATGAATGGAGAAGGTAGGATGGGGGAGGAAGACACTTGGTGGATGGCAATGACCTGTCGGTGAGGAGGTGGGATGAATGGAGAAGGTAGGATGGGGGAGGAAGACACTTGGTGGATGGCAATGACCTGTCGGTCAGTAGCAGGGAGAAGAGCGGAGAAGAGGTGGGGACGTGAATGAGAGATGGGGGGTCAAGTTTTGTGTCGACTCAAAACTCAACTCATTACACGTGGATGGAAATGACCTGTCGGTAAGTAGGGCGGAGAGTGGAGAAGAAGTGGTGGGGAGGGAGGTGGCGTGTATGGCCCATGAGAGCTCCCTGGACGTTTCGTGTACTTGGTGGATGGCAATGACCTGTCGGTCCGTAGCAGGGCGAAGAGAGGAGAAGAGGTGGGGGCGTGAATGAGAGATGGGGGGTTGAGAATGCGCGAGGGGTCGCCCCCATACTCGTGAATGTGATCCAATGCCCAAGAGAGAGCGCGCGGCTGGCGTTTCTTGAGCCTGGTGGATGCCATGGGCCTGGAAGTGGGGGAGAGAGAGGAGGAGGGGTGTTGGAGAGGACGCGAGAGCGGGAGGAGAAACTGAAAAGAGAAGACGGGGAAGACGACACGGGAGCAGCTCATGTGCTCCCGTGTGTCATTATTATCAGCAGCAGTCAGAGCAGATGAGCTGAATAATGAGGATGAGGGGGCTACGGAGGTGGGAGGTGGGGCGGGAGGGGGGCGAAGGGAGGGTGTACATGTGACTTACCTCGGGGTAGAGAGTGTACTGAATGGTAACCACCACCGCCCCTGACTGAGCGAATCGGATTGCGAGCGGAGAATACATCCACTTCTCGCCACTCGCCCACACTCCCCCGTGCACAAAAAACACCACCGGCCGCCCCTTGCTTCCTTCGGTGCTGCTGCTGCTGCTGCTGCTGCTTTCTGCTGCATTGCTGTCAAGTGTCAGATCTGGTGGCATGTAGATGTCAAGACTGGGGGGGGCAAGGGCAGGAGGAAAGGCACAGGGGGTCAAGGGCAGAACACAAGTGAGAAGCAAACAAGGATGCATTGTTGTCAGGTGGCAGATCTGGTGGCATGTAGATGGATGTCAAGACTGTGGTAGGCAAGGGAAGAAAGGCTTTCTTCCCTTGCCCAGAGGGTCGCCACCTAAGCGACGTCTCACACAACAGAATATCAGGCATTGGGAAAACCCTAAGATGGATGCATGGAGAATCGGATTCACACAGTAATCCCTGCCATGCCATCTCATCATTATATTAGAATCCGCCCATGCGATCCCATGCTCTCATAAGCCATCAAATGCCATCATGATGTGCCATCACATGTTGCCACATTGCCTCCAACTAATATCTCATCTCATCCCCATCCCCATCCCCATCCCCATCCCCATCGCTCTGAGCCAGCGAGCTTCTCGTGTCATCCCATTCCAAGCCAAGCCATCCCGTCCCATGCCACGTCATCTCGTCTCATGACACGCCATCCCGTCCCATGCCATGTCATCCCATCCCGTCCCGCGCATACGTGTTGCGCGGTCGAGGGCCGTAGCGGATATCGTGGACCACTCGCACGCCGCCATGTGGCAGACCCTGCCACAGCATCGCCTCCATCGACGACGCCCAGTTCCACACTGAAAAAACACGTCATGCCACGTCAGCCCGCACGCCATGCCATGTAAGGCCAGGTCACACCATGCCGAGCAAATCAAGGAGAAAATTGGGCAGCGAGGGGAAAGCAAGAGGCACCGGGGGAGGAAAAAAGGGAGAGGAAAAGGAGAGGTAAACATAATGTTCTTCCGATTACCGCCGGTAATTTTGATGTTACGGCGTATCACGGGGGGAAGGAGAATGTTAGTCAATAGCAGCCGAGCAGCATCTCACTTGCTTTGCACTGTCATGTCCCTTCTGAGAATTCTCAAAAGTCGCACCAATGTGCACTGTCATGTCCCCATCTCCCTTCCTCCCTGCACACTCCTCCCTTTCCCTCCCACCTCTCCCCTCTGTCTCTAGTTCCTTAGTTCCTGCTCCTTGCCCCCATTCCGCCTCACTTCCATCCTCCATTCCTTTCCCGTTCCTCCTCCATTCATCCCCCCCCGGTTCTACCTGTCGACGTCAGCTGCCTTCGCATCTTCCGGATCCCAATTGCCGACCGACGATCCGCGGACGAGCTTTCCGCGTCCCCCACTTCACCGCGCGTGATCTCCCCCTCCGCCGCGTCCAGTCTCCCCCCTCCGCTGCCGCTTCCGCCAATGCTCTGCGGACCTTCCAAGCCGCGCTGACTGGCGTAAAACACGCTCCTATACATCGCCATAGCATGGAACCCGTACGGCGCGTAACCGAATATCCCGACCAGCGCTTTCGCGAACGTTATCGCGAGCGTCGTCGCGACAGAGATGCGCTCCCAGACCGTCGCCTGTCGCAGCACCTCCAGCTGCGCGCCACGTGCCGACTCGACGACTAGACTCCCAACCATTCTGCGAGAATCGCTGGATCTTTGAGTCGATTCTAGAACCGGGAGTCCACACAAAGGAGCAAAAGAGCAGTGTGGCGAGCGGTGGAGACCGGCGTGAAAGGGAAGGAAAGCGGTTGGGAGCGGAGACTACGCGAGAGGAGACTCTCCTCGGAGGAGAGACTGCGGCGGTCGAGTCAGACTAGATTTTTGCCGCGAGTCCGTGAGTAAGACACTCAAGCTTAATCCAGTAGAAGCACACCTGGTTCTTCTCTCTCTCTCTCTCTCTCTGTTATACCGAGAGTCCGTAAACGTTGGGAAAGTCCTGCTTTCTCAGAACGTCCGTCAACCAGGCTGGCCTTGAATCAAGAGAGATGCTGCTGGGAGCGCGATACAGTAGTCGAACTACGTAACGAACCACGCCGCGTCAAATGCGCCAGTTCGACTTGCCAGGCGCTCCCAGCAACTAGTCCCGATCTGACTCTGCCTCCTAATCTCCCATCACCCGCTCCTGAAGCCAACTCTTCAGGTCCATACAGGAGAATCTATGGGCGCGCATGCATTTCCAAGGGCCCCATTCCCGCAGCACGGGGAGGGGTCAGTTGCAAAACCAAACCGCGCTGTTTACTTTCTTCGTGCAGTCGCAAACACTGTCGCGACCAATGAAACCCCACCCTCGCATTCGCGAATAAATTCCGGCGGTGCTTGTGGGAATCGGGTGTGTGCGGTGCAGGTGTGTGAGTGGGGACGGAAGGCCTTAGCTGCAGCACCAGACGAGTCGTTGGCAGCTCTCCTCAGCCGAGCTTCCCACAACACGATGATGACGTGTTGCAGAACGCCGACCCGGCACGGCACGGCACGGCATGAGGCGGTGCACCGGGTTCCAAACTTTCCATGGACTCGGGAACCTGGTGCGCTGCATCGTCTCGGCGGCAACCCCCAGGGGAGTGCCAGCACGGAGCGGTGCCTCTCTCCGCCTTGGCACGTGCCACGCGTCAGGGCGTGCACTGGCGAGCCCATTGGTGATGGTGGCAATGTCAACGCGATGATATGAACCCTAAACTCGGGAGTGGATGACACCTAACCACCGCTATTTTCAACTCCGAACCATTGCACTGTTCCCGCGTTTCGAAGATACCCTGCACACATTCGACTATTTCAGTTGGGCACTTGGGGAACTTGGGCTACGAAGCACCCCGATTTTTAATGTTAAGAAACGCATGAAAGCAAATCTGAGAATGGGCACTTTTGCTGTCGCGAATTCCCTTGTGCCACTTCTACTCTTTTTGGGGGTCTGGAACCAGCTCACTGTGAAATCAGCGTGAAATTTCTGACGCCCACACAACCCTCGGTCAAATATTCAAGAAAGGGTGCATACCCACTTTCGCAAGTGGGGTTGAAAATAGACGGAAAGAAAATAGCGGTGGTTAGGTGGATCCGCAAACAACCCCGTCAAGGTAAAAAAACACCTGTTTGGCACTGGCGAGGCGAGCCCTGGGACGATGGTAGCAATGTCAACGCGTCTAATATTGACTGCATTCAACATTTTCCTGGGAACTCTATAAAAGGTGTATACACGTGATGCTGAGTTCTACATACTCTATGTTTTAGGTGTTAAACGAGCACTGGGTTTCGTGAGCGATCGTCAACGCTCGCCATGGGAAAAAATGAGCCTATATAAATAACACCAAAGTAACGTATACCGTTTTTCGGGACCGTCAAGGGTGGCAGCTTTTGTAGTACTCCACTTTGCGATGTGACTTCGGTTTGTTCTATACGTTGAGAGTTTGGCGAACAGCCTTGCCTTAGCAATTGGCATGGCGGGTCTGCAAACCGCAAACGCCGTGGGCAACTGCGTGTCACAAAATTATCATTGGCAGAGATTCGGGTTTCGCCAGAGCATATGCGTATGCAGCAGGCCCAACGATATCAAGATTTTTTTCCTGAAATTCCTGATTTTCATGGATTTATTTTTGTACCTACCCTGATATTCCAGTGTTCAGCTTTTTGTGGGACTGATTTTTCAGCCTTTTCCTGCCAGATGACTCTGAACTTTCAGGCTTTTTTGTTTTAGGACACTGATTCCACTACGTTGTACCGAAACTGACACTGAATGCGATTTCTACACGTTCCAAGTGTAGTTAGTTGCCCGGAAGTACAGGGAGGGAATCTCAGATTCCCGCGATGTCAGCATTGCCTGGTGGTGACTACAAGACAAGTTTACCCCGCGTTTTTTCACTCGCGGGGGGTTTTCTCGCGTTCCTGCCTGGTGTACCAAGTGTCAAACTATATATGTGTTAGTTCTGTGTAGGCTATAATGGGGTAGCCCATATGGGGTACAACCCGAAGTTAGGGTTAGTACTTGTACCCACATTTCATTCAATGCAACCATTCCCTGCTTGCTATCTTGACATGGTTTCAGAGCAGTAGGTCCGTAGGACCGTTTTTTTTTTCGGGCCCACCATACTTAGCTTCCGACTACGGTTACTGCGTTACCCCACTACCCTGCGTCGCGCTGCCCCGCGCACGCCCTGCCTTGCCCCGTGTCGCGCTGCCTAGCGCACGCCCTGCCCTGCCCTGCCTGGCATCACCCTGCGCCAGCGCCCTGCCCTGCGCCGGCGCCCTGCCCTGCGCCAGCGCCCTGCCCTGCACCAGCGCTCTGCCCTGCGCCAGCGCCCTGCCCTGCGCCAGCGCCCTGCCCTGCGCCATCGCCCTGCCCTGCGCCAGCACCCTGCCCTGCGCCATGTCAAATGTTATATCTGCTACAGTTTGTTTCGGCTGTAGTGGGGTATTTACTATGGGGTACAGTAAGTTTAGGGTTTCCTACTTGTACCCAATACTTTCCTAGTACAATCACTTCTCTCATTTTGACATGGTATTACGAGCCTAGGTTAGTAACCTAGGACCACTTACCTAAGGGCCCACCGTTCCGCTAGAGGCGCCCTCGTGCGCCCCCCAACGTCGTAGCGCCCTCGTGCGCCTCTCTCCTAGTGCGCCCTCGAGCGCCCTCTCTCTCATGCTGCCCGTTTGCAGCCCGCTAGCAGCCCGAGCGCGGCCCCACGTTCTTAGCGCGAGCAGCCCACTAGCCGCCAGAGCGCGGCCCGATTTTTCTCGCGCGCGCCAGTAGGCCGTCGCCCGTAGGCCCCGCTCGCCCCTAGGCCGACGCTCGACCCGCCGCCGCCCGCCCGCAGGTCGCAGTCCGTGCGCAGCGGCGATCGCGCGTCGGCTGCTGCAGCTCGCGCTTAGCCGCTGCACGAACGCAGCCACGGCCCGCGCGCAGCCGCACCGTAGGCGCCGCTGCGCACCGTGCATAGGCCCGCCGTTGCGCCGCCCTACCTGCCCGAGCCGCGCCGCGCCGTCCTGCCCGAGTCGCGCCGCCCCGAGCCGCGCCGCCCTGCCCGAGCCGCGCCGCCCCACCTGCAGCAACTGCTGCTCCTGTTCCTGCTGTTACAGCTGTTCTTACTGCTACAACTGCTACTACTACTGTTGTTACTGCTACTACTGCTACTGCTACTGCTGCTACTGCTACTGCTGCCACCATGGCCAGTCCTACCGTTCTCACTTTTGACGCTGAGGGCCGTCCAATTAAGTTTGACGTTTGGCTCGATGACCTGCACCTGTTCCTCCAGATCACTACCAAGGACGATGTTTCCCTGTTTGACCACACGTCCGGCACCGCTCCCGCACCTGCTGCTACTGCTGACAGTACTGCTCGCTCACAGTGGCAGACCCGTGACGCTCATGCTCGCCTAGCCGTTCGCAGCCACCTGCCGTTAGATGAGCGCGAGCATTTTGGCCAGCATAAGACCGCTAAAGAGCTGTACGATGCTGTAGTTGCACGCTACTCCTCCCCTGCTACTGCTGCGATAGGCCGTCTCTCGCTGCCCTATCTCTTCCCCGATCTGTCTGCCTTTGCCACTGTAGCTGACCTCATCACGCACCTCCGTACTAGTGATCTCCGCTACCGTGCCGCGCTTCCCCCCGATTTCCTAGCCAAGAACCCTCCCCCGATGTACCTCACACTCTACCACCTAGTCACCCGCCTCCCTGACTCTCTTCGCACTGTCAGGGACCACTTTCTAGCCCTCTCCCCCACCGACCTCACTGTCGACCTGCTCGAGAAGGAACTCCTAGCAGCTGAGAAGAGCATTGTAGCTGTAGG